CATATAGAACGTTTACTATAGGCAGCCAATAAGATTTCAAGGATCGACAGCCAATCAGGTGGATTTTTAACTATGCTCGTAATTACTATATTGGCTTTATTAAATTGGTTTGCATAAAATAAATAAACAAATAAACAAATATAAATAAATAAAATAAATACATTTTACAATGAACATTTAACGTATATAAAAATTTGGCTACTAATAATTCTCAAATATGAAAGAAATATAAGAAAACAATTGATAAAAAAAAAAAACAGTATTAATACTATTAGATCGGTCCTACAAGGACCCGAGACAGACCATGACGGACCATCCATCACTATATTTAGAAAGAAGACACGATTCTTATTTTCTTATTAATAATTGTTAGTTTTCTATTTTAACAAAATTATTCTCAGAAAAGATAGAGTTAGTACGACAAAAAAAAATTAACTAATGTGATTGTGAAATGAAAATAATTCTCAAGATAATATTTATAAAACACAAAAATGTAATATTATACGGTGTATTTATGAAATTAAGCTAATATTTGGTCACCAAATCTAAGTATTTTATCTCAATCTAACTCTTGGTTAAACTAGAATAAATTCTTTGAACTTTCAGAATACCGTATATAATATTTTACTGAGAAGGTTTATATATGATAAGACCATCTTTAAAACAACAAATATAGGAAGAATTAATGGCTTTGTTGCATCAAATTTATATTAGAAGTTAAAGCAGAGATATACGGTAGCTTAATAAATAAGAAGTTCATAAAATAACATCTACCGGAATTTTCTTCGTACAATTTTTTGTTGGTTTCAACTGTTATTTTGTTTTTCTCGAAGATACTTGTCATATAACTTTTGTATTTATATGATAGAGCACTAAGAGGTTGACTTGTAAAATGAGCTTCAGGATGATCAACTAAAACCTGATCCATATTCTTGTTAGATGATTGGATCTTATCTGCTTCTCGAAATTGTTTAATAGCCAAAACTTGATCAAGATCTTTTTCATAAAATTCGTACCAGGTTGAAAGAATGTGATATAATTCTTCAGCAGTTGGTCGTTTATGCGGATCTTCATCCCAACATCTTTAATCAAAGTTGAATAACATAATGGTATATTATCATTAATTTCTGGCCTAAGACCTGTTTTACAAATCTTGAAAAAGAGACTATAATCATGTGGAATGTTGTTATATGGGAATTTTCCAGCTACGACTGCCCACATTAACATTCCAAGGCTATAAATATCTGTTGCTTTAGTATAATCCTCTCCTTTCAATACTTCAGGTGCCATATTAGGCATCATGCCATAGATTTTTTTGTCATTAACCTTTTGATTTACTTGTTGTGATAAGCCAAGATCACTGATAAATGGTTGATAATATTCACTATCATCAAGTATACTATAGATAATAAGAATATTACCACTGTGTAAATCTCTATGGACTAAATCTTTTTTATGGACACGTTCAAGACCAAGTGTTATAGATTGCAATATTCCTAATCGAATTTTCCAATTTGATTTGCAAATTTTTTGTATATTATTCCTTAAAGTTCCATTTACAGCATAATCCATTACGATCATGTATTTTAAGGTTTCAGGATTTTGTGTGATTCCATATAACCGAATAAATGCATAATTAGCTTCCATTGAAAATTTGACGTGGGATTCAACCTAAATTTAAATTAAAAATATTATGTATATATGTTACAGGTCTAAAAGACAAAAATAATATTATAAATACCTCTTTTAAGAATTCCTTATCACTGGGAAATTCCTTTAATGCAACTAAATTACCATAATATAAAGTATTTTTACCTTCCAATTCATCTAATTTACTTTTAAATAAACTATCATTTTCATAATTGGATCTTTCAATATAAGTCCACACATCACCATCAATATTAATAAACTGTTTTAGTCGAAGCCAATCATTTTTTTTATGATCCCAATCGTAGATGGTTTCGGTAGTCCAAATTGCTTTTTAAATAATACCAAAACCACCTTTATCAACAAATTTAATTTTATCCAATTGGTCGTATGGAATCCATTCTAAAGGTTCTGTTCGATTCTTGGCATTTTGTTGTGATTCTTTAATTAAACTGTCAATAATCTCATTTCCACTTGTCCATTTTTCAAAATTCTGTTCAAATCTTTTTTTGTTACAACGTTGACACCAATATTTACAATCCGGACATAGTCCTTTGGTGTTTTTTTTGTTTAGATTTTATTATACCTTCACAAGATTGACCACCAATCCTTAAAAGAATTTTCTTAATTACAAATTGGACAACAAATATATTTGGAACCCATCTTTACATAATATACTAGGTCCGAAGGACTTATCACGGATCAGTCCGACAATGGGTATTTTCGGAGAAATGTTTGTTTTTATTAGATCAACCA